AAAACTTATACTAGTAGAAGAACTGTAGTAATAGTAGCAGCAGATATAATAGTAGTAGCAGCAGCAACAGTAACTGTCTAACATATTGTGTTTGAGTCTGTGCGTATTGTCATATGGCCCCTACTAAGGGAGATAACTTGATAATTTATAAACACCTAGTTCTGCCAAGCTAAGTAAGCTTGATTTTCAAATTGACATTTCAGACAACGATGCTTTTAATTCTTCAATGTTGAGCAAACTTATGTCAGCATAGATTTTTTAAGTATCGCATGAAATGTCAAAGTTGATAGATGCCTTCCTGCAATATATTGAAGAAGTATAAAGTATTTTACGCCAAGAGCCCTACAATGGAAAAATTATCCAAAGTTGGTTTTTGGTGAACGCTGGGTGTAATCCAATTTCTCGAGGAGGGGAAGTAGCGGACAAAAGCGAAACCCCTTATGGCCTGAATAAGTTAATGAGTGCGGATGTCAAAGAAAGGTCACATGCGGTACATGGAAAGATCATCTGTTCGTGTGATGGTCATCGAACGAAAGAAGATGAGATTTTATGATACATTTCCTTCTCCGCTCTTCATCTCTTGAGGACACAGTGGAGAATGGGTGGGGTATCCAACATAGGATTCTCTGGAATCAACAAGGTAAAAGAAACAGAAACGCCAAAAACACACTGTTAAATAAGAGACGGAAGATGGTGAAATGGAAAGTGTTATCGGCATAAAAAGTTAGTTGCGTATCCTTTACAGGACGTTGCAGAACCCACACCAGCATTTTTTGGCTGTTGTGGTTTTTCTAGGCAATTTTACGTTCAGTAGTTTGCCATTGCTGCCTGAACGGTCAGCTCTCGGTACTGTTGTCGAAACCAAAGCAAGACAAATCGTCCGCAGCAGGGATTATTTGCAGCCTATCTTACTACCACTACTTCTCCACACTCGTGGGGGGAAAAAACGGGCTGATCACAAAAACAGATTGTGACGGCCCTGGTTGTCCTGAAAAGGAGCATTGTGTGAGACGTTGTGACCCGGTGTTTGTTTGGCTTTTTCCGGCGGCTTTACAGAACAACAACCAAGCAGCAACAGGGCACCAGCACAGCGATCAGCACGAGGTAAACCAGGTACCAGAAACAATCAGCTAAAACCAATAGATATCATCACTAAGAGAACTGGATCACACCAGACCCAAAAACCACAAGCACCAAACCGCAGCAAGGAAGCAAAGAACCGGGATATCCGGTGTGACTACACACCACACACAAAAAAAGGAAATCAAATAAGACAGCCAAGGAACCTTCCTTCATATAGCAAGCCTCCGGGCGGCTCAAAAAAGATCAAATTTTGAATTTTTGTTGGACAAAGTTGTCAAAGTTCTTTCTTTCTTTCTTTCTTTCTTTCTTTCTTTTTTTTTTCTTTCTTTCTTTCTTTCTTTCTTTCTTTCTTTCTTTCTTTCTTTCTTTCTTTCTTTCTTTCTTTCTCTTTTCGTTCTTTCTCTTTTCTTTCTTTCTTTCTTTCTTTCTTTCTTTCTTTCTTTCTTTCTTTCTTTCTTTCTTTCTTTCTTTCTTTCTTTCTTTCTTTCTTTCTTTCTTTCTTTCTTTCTTTCTTTCTTTCTTTCTTTCTTTCTTTCTTTCTTTCTTTCTTTCTTTCTTTCTTTCCTTCTTTCTTTCTTTCTTTCTTTCTTTCTTTCTTTCTTTCTTTCTTTCTTTCTTTCTTTCTTTCTTCTTTTTTTCTTTCTTTCTTTCTTTCTTTCTTTCTTTCTTTCTTTCTTTCTTTCTTTCTTTCTTTCTTTCTTTCTTTCTTTCTTCCTTTTTCGTCTTTTTCTTTCTCTGCTTCTTCTTCTTCTTCTTTTTCTTTTTCTTCGCATTCCCCGTCTGTGAACTCTGACAGACAGTTTTGGCTGTTTGTCCACATCTGGACTTAGTATTGTTTTAGAACTTCAGTTGTGTGTGCATATTTGTTTTGCATATCTGACTTATTTGTATGCAGACGTGCTGATAATCTGAACCATCGGTGCATACGATTGCGCTTTCTAGCTGGAATGTTTATCTGTTTATTGTACTTGCAGACCTGTCACATAGTGAGACCACTCCTTACCTTTTCTTACTACTGCGATGATGACCTGGTGGGATCAGCTGTTTCCTGTGTCTTCGTGTTGACCCATTCAACGCCTTCTCTAGATATGGAGGAGGGGCTAGCCTCCGAATAACGGGCACAAAATATGGCGGCCAAAAACAGGGCCTCAGTCACTTGGGCACTTCCGGCGACTTAATTTGCGAATTTCCGGCGAGTACCGATACTGCCGAGAGTACCCCTCACGCCGCTCACACGGCGTGGATTGGGGCTAAACTAGATGGCTGGAACTCTGAAAATAGCCGGGCCATAAATATGTAGCCTCACGGCTGAAAGGGGTTTCTGGGACGGGTGCTCCTCATCCGAATGGTGACACTTTGTGTCACCAGGTGTTTATCGCTTGTGTGATGTCCTGGTGGGGTACAAATACCTACCTACCATTTTGAAGCCACACCGCGGCTTTTGTCGGTCGCCGCAAAATAGCCTGAAGGCTAAACGCGTTTCTCGGACCTCTCCACGGGTGGTCCTCATTCGCTTGTTGGCACTTTGTGTTACCGGGTGTTTATCGCTTGTGTAATTTATTGGTGGTTTATAATTTATATACATACATAAATCACGCTTTAATCTCGTCATCCCCTTGTGGAATGCAATTGTTAGTTATTTTGAAGCCCCACCCTGGCTTTTGCCGGGGGCCCTAAATATAGCCGGGCCTGAAATATGGCGTAACTGTTGACCATGGTTTTTGAGACCTCTTCAAGGGTGATCCTCATCCGCATAGTGGCACTTTGTATCACCGGGTGTTTATCGCTTGTGTAATGTACTGGTGGGGTGTACCATTCATACACACACACACACACACACACACACACACACACACACACACGCGCGCACGCACGCACGCAGGCACGCACGCACGCACGCATGCACGCACACATACATACATACATACATACACACACACACACACACACACACACACACACACACACACACACCACACACACACACACACACACACACACACACACACACACACACACACACACACACACACACACACACACACACACACACACACACACACACACACACACACACACACACACACACACACACACACACACACACACACACACACACACACACACACACACACACACCACACACACACACACACACACACACACACACACACACACACACACACACACACACACACACACACACACACACACACCACACACACACACACACACACACACACACACCACACACACACACACACACCACACACACACCACACACACACACACACACACACACACACACACACACACACACACACACACACACACACACACACACACACACACACACACACACACACACACACACACACACACACACACACACACACACACACACACACACACACACACCCACACACACACACACACCACACACACACACACACACACACACACACACACACACACACACACACACACACACACACACACACACACACACACACACACACACACACACACACACACACACACACACACACACACACACACACACACACACACACACACACACACACACACACACACACACACACACACACACACACACACACACACACACACACACACACACACACACACACACACACACACACACACACACACACACACACACACACACACACACACACACACACACACATACACACACACACACACACACACATACACACACACACACACACACACACACACATACACACACACATACATACATACATACATACATACATACATACATACATACATACATACATACATACATACATACATACATACATACATACATACATACATACATACATACATACATACATACATACATACATACATACATACATACATACATACATACATACATACATACATACATACATACATACATACATACATACATACATACATACATACATACATACATACATACATACATACATACATACATACATACATACATACATACATACATACATACATACATACATACATACATACATACATACATACATACATACATACATACATACATACATACATACATACATACATACATACATACATACATACATACATACATACATACATACATACATACATACATACATACATACATACATACATACATACATACATACATACATACATACATACATACATACATACATACATACATACATACATACATACATACATACATACATACATACATACATACATACATACATACATACATACATACATACATACATACATACATACATACATACATACATACATACATACATACATACATACATACATACATACATACATACATACATACATACATACATACATACATACATACATACATACATACATACATACATACATACATACATACATACATACATACATACATACATACATACATACATACATACATACATACATACATACATACATACATACATACATACATACATACATACATACATACATACTGCGAGCTTTTTGTTATTTCATAATTCCCGTCCCCATGTGGGACGAATTTTTCATTATTTTGAAGCCACACATGACGGTTGAACGGGGTTTCTGGGACCTCTTCACAAGTGATCCTCATCTGAATGGTGGCACGTTGTGTCACCGGGTGTTTATCACTTGGTAAATTCCTGGTGGGGTAAAAAGTTAGTCAGTCAGGGCGCTTATCTGTCGATTATAAATATAAATTATTAAAATATTATAAATATTCACGAGAATTTGGAGGAGGGGGAGGGGGGGGGGGCTGTAACGAGAGCGTCATTCTGCAAATGTTCTGCTTTTTGATGATGATCTGACTGTGTACGTCAGTGCTTTTATGTTCCGAGCAGATCAAGGAACACCCTGGACACTGGTGGCATGGGTCGTGCTTGAGGAAATCTCGGCTGAAGACAGTCCTACACAGTCTCTACATGACCTTCACAAAGGGAGAAATCACAGCACTCATCGGAAGTTCAGGTGTGTGTGTGTGAGTGAGAGAGAGAGAGAGAGAGAGAGAGAGAGAGAGAGAGAGAGAGAGAGAGAGAGAGAGAGAGAGAGAGAGAGGGAGAGAGAGAGGGAGAGGAGAGAGAGAGAATGATGTGTACAATCAAAGAACTGGTTTCTTGTCCTGGAGCGGAAGCAAGTAAACATACCTCATGGATCTTGTATAAGTTGTCATGACAGATGCTTTATTATCTTTCTGAAATGTAATATTATCTTGCCTACTCTATTATGTTCTTCAAATAGCAACAACTGAAAAAAAAAAAAAACCAAATGCCCAATTCTTTTCCTCAATCTCTTTTTGGATTGCTGTGTGCAGATCGAACGCCACTTTGGATTGAAAGAACTGAAGTGGAGGGCGTGAAACCGAGAAAGAGGGACAGCCACACAAATGGGTGCAAGATATCATTTAAAAGACACCTTGTGTAGGAAAGTAAGACGGCCATGATGAGAGCGACGTTCTGTAAAAGACAGGCTGAATGATGAAATAAGTCACCGTTTAGGTCAAAATGTTTTCTTACACATTTACCTGCTGACATCAGCTTACACATTTACCTGTTGACGTCAGCTTACACATTTACATGTTGACATCAGCTTACACATTTACCTGTTGACGTCAGCTTACACATTTACATGTTGACATCAGCTTACACATTTATACTTCTGACCACAGGCATAACCCAGAGAATCCACAAGTTTCTCTTGTTGTCTGTTGTGTAACATTGTATCAACTGTTCTGTCACTCGGTTGAACGTATTACTATCACAGCAACATTCATTTAAACAACAAAATTCCTTGTCAATATTTTCTTTCACTCTTGTATGTGTGTGTTTTGTTCTTTCGTTTTTTTCTTCTGTTGCATTCTCAAAACGATTTATTGAATTTAGGCTTTGCACAGATGAATTTGAAAAATCTCAGCCAGTTGTTCATCATTATTATCAGGTGCCTTGCCGACTGGCGTGGGCGATCATGCCTCTCCCCAATCTACTATCTTCTGCAGCATGTATCAGTTCGTGTCCCGACACACCTCCATGCCATGCAACAAGACTGTTAAGAATCTTCTCTCGTTGTCTTCCTCTATTTTTCCTTCCACAGATCTTTCCAGTGGTCACAACAAGGTCTATTTTCCCTCTTCTCATAACATGGCCGAAAAGTGATGACTGTCTCCTTCTGATGTCTGTGATAAGTTGTCTTCAGGTTCCCACCTCTTTTAAAACCCTTTAGTTGCTTTTTTTTTTTTTTTTTTGCTGTCCAAGGTATTTTAAGCATTCTTTTGTAAAACCACATCTCTGAGGCCTCAAGAAATTTGTTTGACCTGCCTACCGATTGACCAGGACTTACATCCATATGTTAAAACTGGAGGAAAATAGCAAGCAAGAATTCTTTTTCTAACCTTCAATGACAGAGATATGTTGCATTATATGTTCTTCATTGCATAAAATGCAGTTTTTACCTGTCCTCTTCTGTTTCTTTCATTAGTAATGTATCTTTCATTTGATGTTATCCATGGGCCCAGATACTTAATTGTCTGTACTTGTCCCAAAATAACACCATTGACTTTTATTACACATTTAGGAGTATTCCAGTTGTTCATAGAAAGACTAAGAATCGCGAACAGCTGGTTCTGTCTTCCATGTAACGTGTTTTCCCTGTAACGTCAGGACTGTTATGAAAACTTCAGCATCTACTTCTTTGTTTGGACATCTACTTCTTGATTTAGACATCTACTTCTTGGTTTGGACATCTACTTCTTGATTTAGATATCTACTTCTTGATTTGGACATCTACTTCTTGGTTTAGACATCTACTTCTTGATTTAGACATTTACTTCTTGGTTTGGACATCTACTTCTTGATTTGGACATCTACTTCTTGGTTTGGACATCTACTTCTTGGTTTGGACATCTACTTCTTGATTTGGACATCTACTTCTTGGTTTGAGCACATCGTGGGGGCAGCATTTTCCGTTTTTATGTTTTACACTGTACTGTGCGTTGTAGCAGGGGACTGTGGTGGAACGAATGTAGACTTGACACGTTCAAGACAAATGTAGACTTGACACGTTCAGGACAAATGTAGACCTGACACGTTCAGAAAAAATGTAGACTTGACACGTTCAGGACAAATGTGAGGAGCTTCCAAAGCCCCCAGTTTCATCTGTATTTCAATACTCCTTTATTATTAGGTTGAAGATTTATGACTATTTAAGTGCATGTAATGGAGGAGTGAGAAGGACTGGCACAACGGTTAGTTCGCTGGGCTCTCAATCTTTAGATCTGGATTCGAATCCTCGGTAGGGCTGGGGATTTTTTCTGTCGGGGGCAAAATAAAATCCTCATCTGCAGAGTGGTGGCGAAAGCGCTAGCCCTGCAGCCATAAATCCCCAGGCTCAGATCCCTCGACCTAAACCTCAAAAGTGTGGGCAGTAACTGACAGTTGACGAGTCGATGATTATTCTTAAATAATGCCTTGCTTTTGTTGACTCTTGGAAACAACCAGCTCTCATATATAACCTTACTGTACAGGATCTGGCAAAACGTCGCTGCTAGATGTGATCTCTGGGCGAGCCCAAGGAGAGGTCAGCGGGTTAGTCACCTACAAGAAAGAGCTGTGTACACGAGACACCATGAAGCAAGTATCCAGCTATGTTCTACAGGCTGACCGCTTGCTGCCCACGCTGACTGTCAAAGAAACCTTAACATATATGGCATATCTCAAACTGCCGGGCCAGTTGACCTCCTCAGAGATTGATGCAAAGGTCAGTGTCTTTATTTAGACATACTAATAGACACGCGCTCACACACATACGCGAGCGTGTTCGCACGTACGTACGCACGCACACACACACACACACACACACACACACACACACACACACACAACGTTTACCAGTCTTCTAATGTGTCATATGTGATATATAAATTATTAAACATATGTTGTTGTCTTTATCATTCTATTTATGGCACTTTTTATACACATTTATTTGTATAGGTTTATTAGTGTTTATATCAACCTTTCCTCTGTGCTTATTTTTCTCCCTTTGAAAGAATCTTTCTGGAATTACTTGCTTAACTGTTCTCTTAACTTTTGCTATCTGTGCTCACCTTTTCTGTTGAATGTGAAGTATTGTATCGATGTATCTCTCAGGCTAGATCATTTGACAACAAAACTGTATGTACCTTGTGAATTAGGGCCGGTATACACTCTGGACGGCGTCCGTGGCTAAGGCATTGCGAGTCCGACTCGTAAGCCAGCATACCGCGATCGAAACCCACTGCAGGCTGCGTGGATTTTTGTCGTGGTATGGGACGTCGCAGGTCGACCCAGCCTAAAATAGGTACCAGGATGGGCTGTCCTGGGAAAGTAAAGACGGCCGGCGTAATGCTGACCACATTACCCACAAAGTGCTGATGGTCTGTAAAAATATGGGACGCTCTGCCCATATGCCCGATGCGCCGAAAGGCGTGAAAAGGGAACTTTACTTTACTTATACACTCTGGACGACGATCCCCAATGTAGACTCACTTTCCTCGTGTGTGTTCTGGGCTCCCATTGTGAGGAAAACAAGAATAGACCCAATGCCTTCTAAGCAAGCATGTCGCAAGAGTCGACTAACTCGGGACTTCGAAGGAAGTCGGAGTGCATCTGTCCGAGCTGCAAGGAACAACCAACTCCACAAAAATAAGCCATAATCAAAACGAATGAACATGCAAAACTCAGGCCGTAGCACAAAGCCGAAGTCCAAATGGACGAACAACCAGGACCTTCTACCGGAGCTCACAGCTGGTGAACGAAGAAGAAGGAGAAGAAGAAGAAGAAGAAGAAGAAGAAGAAGAAGAAGAAGAAGAAGAAGAAGAAGAGGAAGAAGAGGAAGAAGAAGAGGAAGAAGAGGAAGAAGAAGAGGAAGAAGAGGAAGAAGAAGAGGAAGAAGAAGAGGAAGAAGAGGAAGAAGAAGAAGAAGAGGAAGAAGAAGAAGAAGAAATAGGAAGAGCGAGAAAAAAAAGGAGGAGGAGAAGGAGGAGGAGCAGAAGAAGGAGGAGAACGTCGCCTAAGTGTTTTAAATTCACCATCACTCTCATTGTTCAATACAGGTGCAGTCTGTGATTGCAGACATGGGTCTTCAACATGTTGCTGAGTCTAGGATCGGTGGGGCTGTGGTCAGGGGTGTGTCGGGAGGAGAGAAAAGAAGGATTACAATAGGCGTACAGCTGCTCAAAGACCCAGGTATGTTTTCGTGTCTTAAATAAACTGGACTTCCTCACCGGAAAATCAACGCTGAAAAGACAACAGTAATGTCACTGTGAAGAAAAGCAGAAGCGAAATATAGCAGTAGAGTGCAAATTCATTAAAAAGGCATCTGATTTAAATATCTGGGAACAACAATTACCAAAGATGGCACATTGTATACAGAAATTAACATCCGATGCAACAAATCAAATGGTGGACCAGTCACAAGACGGTTTTGTCACGTGTCTAAATTAGAGTCACCACTAGTAATATAAGACACTGAAAACGTTGTGATGGTGGCTCGTATTGGTCTAGGAGGTACTCCGCAGCTCCAAGAACCACCCAACACCACTCTAAAGATGAGCTAACTCGGTGCAGGTCAAACTTTACTGGCCGCTGAGTGATTTACAAAAGACAGTGAAGTTAATACTAGAGACAACACTGCAGATATAGACAATCTTTTTCAGGCGAACGAAAGAAGAAGAAGAAGAAGAAGAAAAAGAAGAAGAAGAAAAAGAAGAAGAAAAAAAAAAGAAGAAGAAGAAGAAGAAGAAGAAGAAGAAGAAGAAGAAGAAGAAGAAGAAGAAGAAGAAGAAGAAGAAGAAGAAGAAGAAGAAGAAGAAGAAGAAGAAGAAGAAGAAGAAGAAGAAGAAGAAGATGTAATAAGTTCAAACCAATATAAGAAATCATAATAAACTGACACCAAAGACGGACATATAGAAGAGTATAACCTAAATAACGCTTCTATGTTATATCATGTTATTCAATTCGTCATCCTCTTGTGTGATGACATTTTTCATTATTTTGAAGCCCCACCCTGGCTCTTGCCAGGGGCCGCAATATAGCCCTGCCATAAATATGGCCTAATGGCTGAACCTTCACGGGGAATCTTAATTCACATGGTGGCACTTTGTGCTCTGGGTGTTTATCAAACAGTTGCATAATAATAAGAGGTCTCGGGGTGTACTCTGTGGCTAACCAAGTTGTCATGTGTCAACTGTGTCCACAGAAATCCTGTTACTAGACGAGCCAACATCAGGACTGGACGCTTTCACTGCTCGACAACTAGTTTCCAGTCTGGCACAATTGGCACATCGAGGCAAGCTGGTCATCCTGACCATTCATCAGCCACGGTCGGATATTTTCAATTTGTTGGACAAAGTAGCAATTCTGACCATTGGTCGGTTAGCTTTTAATGGAAAACCAGATCATTTGGTTTCATATTTCACCAGCATTGGATATCCGTGTCCCAGGAATCAAAATCCGTGTGATGTTTACGGTAAGGCAAAATTGGGAAAATGGGTGCGGCGGGGAGGAAAGAAAAAAAAAGGGGGGGGGGGCGGGTGTATTAAGTAGGTGAGAGGTAAATAACCATATTGTGACATTGCAATAATCCTCGGCGTCTAGAGTTCCCCATTTTACGCCATCACCAAAATCACAAATCAGGTCTTTGTTCTTATCCTGACCATGCCATCCAGACATTGATGTCGTGTGAATTTTTTTTAGTAAATAGTTATTCAGTCCTTCTTTCCCGTTTTGGTATTAGTGCAAAGAAGCCACCTAATATTATCACTGTACCGTGAGTCAGTTACTGTGTTATATATTTTAAACACGAAATGACCATTCTCATTTAGTTATATTTGATATAGAGTTCCAGTTCCATGTTTTTATAGACCATATATTACACGATAGGCGACATCGATATAAGGCCGGCCACTATTACTTCACAATTACATTGCCTGACACCCACTTTAGACCGCTTCTTTCTGGAAGCCAAGTGCCATTTGTTTAATCCCCATTTGAAAGAATAGGTAAACATATTACCACGGTCACAACATAGGCAGACGAGCTTTGCTCCATTCTGTAAAACAGAATCAGTTCGCCGGAAATTGGGAGAATTAGACCACCACGATACCCCCTCCCCTCCCCCACCACCCTTATAAATATCGGTATGGGTGGGTTGTCCCCTTCGTCACACCTTTGAAAAGGGGGGGGGGGGGCTTAAAGGACCTAAAGTTCCAGGTTTATGCACCTCTGCAAATCACTTTATGTTCACAAGCTCTCAACCCAAGAAGGATAACTTGTAGCTGTTATACAATACTGTGTTGTCTTTCCCAGCACGGACTCTCTAGTTCCGGCGACGATCCAGGGGTATGTCCGTAAAAACTGAGTACATGATGTCGACGTTAAGTAAACTGTGTGTATGTTGAGTAGACTCTGTAGATGTTGAGCATATGGTATAGATGCTGAGTCGATGGTGTCGATGTTGATTAGATGATGTAGATGTTGGATGGATGATGTAGATGTTGCTTGGATGATGTAGATATTGAGAAGGTGGTGTAGAGGTTGAGTTCAGGGTGTAGATGGTGTAGATTTTGAGTAGATGGTGTCAATACTGAGTAGGTGTTGTAGATGTCGTGTAGATTGTGTAGAATTGAGCAGACAGTGTAGCTATCAAAAAGATGGTGTATCTTTGAGAAGGCGGTGTAGATGTTTAGGGGGGGGTGTAGATGTTGAGTAGATCGTGTAGATGTTGAGAGGGGGCGTAGATGAGAAGTAGATGGCGGAGATGTTGGTATAATGAATATTGAAATCTCAAAACGTTTAACTAGCCAAGACAAAGACAACTCTGTTTGTCAATTATAGACAATGGTTGTATAGACGTTGAACATTTATGTTTGGATCACAGTCGACATAACCAGCGTGGACAGAAGGAGCCCTGGAGTCGAGAAATCCACAAGCAAGAAGGTTCAAAAACTCTGTGACGCTTTTGCTAACTCGGATCTGCAAACAAGTCTTGTCAAACGCCTTTCAGTTGGCCTGACATATCGCAAGTCTGATGGCGCCGAGAACAATGTTGGAAGCAAAAATGAAATGCCTCCATGGACAAGAAAGATGCAGTGTCTACTCAAGTGAGTTGTTCTATAGCTTTACATATTGTTATATCAACTATAATCTGAGTGATTATTGCATGATTGCTGCACTAGTGTTTGTGTTACTTTGCCTTTGGAGTAAACAAGGCAGGCTGATGGAAGGGTCATGATGCACATAGTTTCTTTAATACTGCCCAGCCTTTGTCATATATTTTAGAGGAACACCCCCCCCCCCCAACCCCGGCCTAAATTGGTCTTGAAATCCGATGCTCTAAGTGAAGAAGACTTTTCCTAACAAGAATAGTCTTGCCGATCACACTTACCATCGCTATGGTCTGCGATTCCCATTCCTCCCTATGGCACACTATAACATGGTCTCTGGAAAGAAAGAAAAGTGCCGGCATCTTATGATTAAAGACAGAAGACGGATTCGCTTCATGCAGCTGGTATTTCGGTGATACTTGCATTATACTACAAATGAAATAGTTACATTACTTTTTGATGCCTCAGATCAAGAGCAAATTATGGATTTTCGGATTGGTTATTCGGATATGCGGGGTATTGAGCAGACTGATAGATTGGCTACTTCAGCTCCTCTGGGTTGTGAGCTGCTTTATGACAAAGCGAATGTGGTAAAGGTTCTTTGGGATCAGGTGGACAGTGCAACACAACACATACATTGATACACTGACTGAGCGCTTAGAAAGGGGGGCGGGGCGGGGGGGGGGGGGGGGGTTAGCAGAGGATCTGGAAGACATTGAAAATAGAGGAGAACTTTCAGTACAACTAGTAGTTCGCATATCGTTGACTACTGTGGCTAAACCGGTGTTTTTCTAGGTGATTTTATTGAATGTTTTTTTTCCCCCAAACATGTGTAATTAGTTGATTTGTCCCCTCCCCCCCCCCCCCCCCCCCCCCCCCCTCCCCCCCCCCCCCCCCCAAATTTTTTCAAAGTATAAAACATTGCACATGAGAGAATTTAGTCTGCATAACGATTTGGTCTTCATGTTGACCAGCTTTGGTCAGCATGTTTGTCCACAACCTTTTTTGCTTTTTCTTGCGTCTGATTCACTTGCCCCTTCTTGTAATACTGTGAAACTATTGAATATGTATCTTTCCGCTTGGTTTCCCGTTCTCTCTTACAACTTCATTATCGCGACGTTTTTCAGCCTTCCTCTTCTCATGAACAACAACAACAATAACAACAACAACAACAGTAATACTATAGGATATGTATTGTCTCCTGATTTTATGATTTATTTAGTTGCAGCCAGTCATTCAATAATTACTATGGTATTTTCCAGTGAGCTAACAGCTCTGTTAAATGTATTGTATATATGTGTCTCTGTATGTGTGCGCGCTTTTTTCCAATGTGCCCCAGCCATTCTACCCCCCCCCCCCCCCACACCCCACTTAAAAAACACGTACATACTACATAAGGGAAACTAATACAAAACAAGGTTTGCAATCTAATTTTTTCATAATCACATTAATTTATTAGTGCGGGTTGTAGAATTTGTAGGCCTACATATTCTCATGTTCTTAACATGTAATAGTTCCTTAGGGAATAAACAATACTAATAATAGATTCTAGAGCTGGGTGAGGAACAGGTAAACCGACTTGCTTGGGTGTCTCGTTTCAATCTCAAACTGTTAGTGGGATGTCCCGTTTTAAGCTTGACACATTAGTGGGATGTCCCGTTTTAAGCTCGAAACATTAGTGGGATGTCCCGTTTTAAGCTCGAAACATTAGTGGGATGTCCCGTTTTAAGCTCGACATATTAGTGTGATGTCCCATTTTAAGCTCGACATATTAGTGGGATGTCACGTTTTCAGCTCGACATTTTAGCGGTATGTCCCGTTTTAAGCTCGAAATATCAGTGGGATGCCCCGTTTGGAGCTCGCCATATTAGCGCGATGTCCCGTTTTCAGCTCGACACATTAGTGGGATGTCCCGTTTTAAGCTCGAAAAATCATTGGGATGTCCCGTTTTTAGCTCGCCATATTAGTGCGATGTCCCGTTTTCAGCTCGACACATTAGTGGGATGTCCCGTTTTCAGCTCGACATATTAGTGGGATGTCCCGTTTTAAGCTCGACATATTAGTGGGATGTCTCGTTTTAAGCTCGACATATTAGTGGGATGTCCCGTTTTAAGCTCGACATATTAGTGGGATGTCCCGTTTTGAGCTCGACATATTAGTGCGATGTCCCGTTTTGAGCTCGACACATTAGTGGGATGTCCCGTTTTAAGCTTGGCACATTAGTGGGGTGTCCCGTTTTAAGCTCGACATATTAGTGCGATGTCCCGTTTTGAGCTCGATACATTAGTGGGATGTCCCGTGTTAAGCTTGACACATTAGTGGGATGTCCCGTTTTAAGCTCGACACATTAGTGGGATGTCCCGTTTTTAGCTCGACATATTAGTGGGATGTCCCGTTTTAAGCTCGACATATTAGTGAGATGTCCCGTTTTAAGCTCGACACATTAGTGGGGTGTCCCGTTTTTAGCTCGACATATTAGTAGGATGTTTCGTTTTAAGCTTAAAATATGATGGTCACCCTACATGTCACTCACTGACACTCCCTAGCAAAACTCTAAATCATATTTGCATTATTTGTTGGCATTATGACACTATGTTTATATGTATGTGTGTGTGTATGTCTGCCTGCTTGTCTGTGTGTGCCTATGTATGTATGTACGTATGTATGCATGCATTTTTTAGGATGTGTTCAGGTGAGTATTTGAAACTTGTCATTCATTGTTAACTCTCTATGATTTTGTGCCACCGACACATTGACCAGGCGTATGTACATCCATCTGTGGAGAGACCGCGGCGCTTTCCTTGGACGATTTTTAATGCTGCCTTTCTTTGTGCCGTTCATCTTGATTTTCCTTGGCCGTCTCAACACCGAACAAGAGAGCATCCAGAACCGACTGGGCCTGATATACCAGGCCACCCAAGTGACTGCATACGTGGGCATGACTCACTCTATAGCTCTGTGTCAGTTAAGTATTTATGTATTTATTTATGCATAGCAATGGTTTAAACAGATACATAAATAGATCTATTTCTGTAAACCCCGGGCAGTCTCGTCGAGATTTATGTCGCTAGTATCATCTCGTCACTTGTCAGGTCGTTTTCTGATTTCCCAGCCTGGCTCCAAGCTAGACTGAAGTTATGAACAAATGCCATCTTAACGGACCCAGGTCCGTGGGGCGGTCAGCGGGCAAAGGATCCCGTCAGTAGGAAATACCAGATGCCTGCATTCAAGTGTGGGCTTATCTTTCATCTGGTGACCATAATGAGGCAGTATACTGATCGCTTTTTATTGTAAAATACTAATGTGTTTTTATAAAAGGTGTAATACTTTATGTGCTTTTATCCGAAGTGAACATTAAACCATCGTAACATCACTGCATTTGATTAGAGAAGCTGCTGGCTGAACAGTTAAGAACGCTGGACTCTCGTGCGGCAGACCCTAGTGTGAATCCTTCGTTTAAAAAATCCCACCTAGCACAGTCCGTGGAGTCAGCACTAGCCAGTCATGCGGCCATAAATCCTAAGGCTAAACCCCCCCCCCCCCACACACACACACATACACACACATACAAGTGGTAAATACAGGCAGTATTTGGCAGTGATTTGACTACTATTTGCGGCGCCTATGCGAGTGTGTGTGTGTGTGTGTGCGTGCGCGCAAGCATGTGTGTAATCAACACTTTGACTATTGCAGATGTATGTAGTAGTCACAATTGTATCTGTTTACTGTAGTAGTCACAATTTAATCTGTTTACTGTAGTAGTCACAATTTAATCTGTTTACTGTAGTAGTCACAATTTAATCTGTTTACTGTCTGTTCTAGTTCCAGTACTGAGAGAACTCTTCTACAGAGAATATCAAGATGGGCTGTATTCAACGTTTACATTCCTTCTGGCTTATTGTTTGCATTGTCTCCCGTTCAACATGGTAACCGTGACGGTGTTCTCCTCTATATTTTACTGGTATTTACTGCTGTTTATTTTTATTATACACATATCACATATACAGATATACGGCTCTCCTCCGAACTTCTACCCCATATTATGGCGGCCAAACAAATACCCTAACAGGGCCTCAGTCGTGTGTAAAATGTAAACTTCCTGCGACGAACACTTGACAATTTCAAGATACGCAACACAGCAGACGATACTAGCAGACGATACTAACGACCACTGACAATTTCGAGACACGCAACATTACAGACGATATTGGCGACATGGCGGGGAGACCACGCGCTCCGACGCTGATTAGCGTCGTTGTTGTCCTCACACTTTTCGACATGCGCATAACACGGTTAAATTCACCGCTGACAGTATCCCCCCGGGACTCACGAGCAAATAAATTAGAGGAAGTTGCAGGAGATGCAGTAGCTGCTGCTCGTAAATCCCAGCCATCTTGTTTATCCCCCCCCCCCCAACTGAGCTCTGTTAGGGCATTTGTTTCGTTATTCGGAGCCGATCCTAGTTTTGCCACGATTTGTTCCTCGGCAGGAAGTCCGCATTTTGTATAGGACTGAGGCCCTGTTAGGGTATTTGTTTGGCCGCCATAATATGGGGTAGAAGTTCGGAGGAGAGCCAGATACACATTATGTGTAGACCGCTCACGAAGTTACATACATATAACCATACTGTTTTAATGTTTACTGATATTTGCTACTATTATTCTAGATCTTATCTTAAAGGCCTTCTCTTTACCTTTCTATTTCAAAGTAGCTGTGTATACAATGAGATAGGATGGTGACAAAGAATTATATGACATTGTTAGTAATAAAATATATCTGAGCGATTAACTAATCCCACATCACATCCAGAATTTTGTCTTGTGAAATGACCACTTGTTTGTTGGTAGGAGTGTTGGAAGACTGTTGCTTGTGGATTACTGTTCAGTGGCCACGTAATGACGTCCTACAAAGTTTCAGCTACACAATGAGTGTCCCAAATTCGAGTGCCTATACTGTCGAATTCATATTGTTGCTAGCCCGAATTTTACGACTAAAGAACGTCAGTTAAAATATTGCAGTTTCATAAGTTTCTACCAACTAGTGCATCAGCATTCACTACTCTAGACGGTACAAGTTCATATTCTAAGCGACATATGTCACATTTAAGATTGATATGATTTCTTAAAATTTCATTTAGTCATTAAAGTGTGGGACGCCCGCGAAAATCCTTAGTACACCGTCCTGTCTGTAACCCATGCAAGGACAGATCAATAGCAAACATTGATCGCCGAAGAATGTCTTCAATCTTTACAAAAGCCAGCACAACCACTGCTTTTGGGGACATTTGGAGACACACTGCAATGAAAATAGCAGGACAACCAGCAAGTTGTCATGGAAGCAATGTTCTGCAAAAAACCGATTGCATAACGATAATTAAATCTAAATTAATCGTGTCACGTGTACTGTGACTTGCATTTTGTCTCCTTTCCTATTTCAGTTTTTTTTTTAGCAGTAAAGAATAAATATCCGGTCATGTTTCCGACTTGTGTAGGGTTCTAATCACTTTGGGGCGTGAGTGCAGGGACTGGCCAGCTTGTGCTGCAGAATCAGAAGTTCAATAAATGATTCATGAAAATTACCCCCCTGGTGATGTGACTGTCTTTACAGATGGCTCTGACTACGAAGGAAAGGGCGACCATATCTCTAGGGTGACTGTAGCCAATCTGATCTTTATGTTGCAATTGAGCAAAAATCTCAACTGAAAGACGTCTGAACCTTTGTCATTCAGTAGGAGGCTCGGGTAACTCCGCTTATCGTACGATATAAACAATTTCATCCACACGCTAAGGCACCAGCTCTGAGATCCCCAGTTATCTCTGTTCAAGCCGATATAGGCTATTATCCGAGATGCAAAACGTGAACGTGTGGCAGGAGTCTTACATGAGAGACCGTGAAACCAGCACAGAGAATAATTGCGCCCGAGGTGAGGTACCGAGCAGCTCTTATAAACTCCGCAAAAGAGACAACTTTCCCGCACGCCTGAAATCACCGCGTCCTAAAATAAATTAACGTGCTCTTGTAAGTTTCACAATAATAATTTATTGTGAAACTCACAAGAGCACGTTAATTTAGTTAGTAAATAGTTGCAGCTGTACGTACAAGATCATATTCTCAGAAGCTAACAAATCGCACATTTGACATTGTCGTGACATCTGTCTGAATGTGGTAGGTCTGCTGGGATGAACAACAACGATACTCTGTCGTTTGCTGCCTTCGTGTTAGTGTGTCTGATACTTGTGCAGTTCGGTGAAACTTTGACTGCCGGCATCCTTGGTGTGTTCAGAAACGTGCCGCTGGCAAACAATACAACTGCTCTGGTGTTTTCTGCATCTGGTCTTTTGGCGTCTGGTTTATTGAGGTTAGTACCTGTCACATTTTCTCAATATATTAGCATAATCTGTTCAGAAACTTTGTCCATGTATTCGCACAATATGTTTAGACATTTTGTCCATGTATTCGCACAGTCAGTTTATATATTTTATCCATCTATTCGCACACTCGGTTAATACATTTTATCCATCTATTGGCACAGTCGGTTTATACATTTCATCCATCTATTTGCACAGTTGTTTTATACATTTTATCCATCTATTCGCACAGTTGTTTTATACATTTTATCCATCTATTTGCACAGTCGGTTTATACATTTTATCCATCTATTTGCACAGTTGGTTTATACATTTTATCCATCTATTTGCACAGTCAGATTATACATTTTATCCATGTATTCGCACAGCTGGTTTAGACATTTTATCCATCTATTCGCACAGTCGGTTTATACATTTATCCATCTATTTGCACAGTCGGTTTATACATTTTATCCATCTATTCGCACAGTTGTTTTATACATTTTATCCATCTATTTGCACAGTCGGTTTATACATTTTATCCATCTATTTGCACAGTCGGTTTATACATTTTATCCATCTATTTGCACAGTCGGTTTATACATTTTATCCATCTATTTGCACAGTCGGTTTATACATTTTATCCATCTATTTGCACAATCGGTTCATACATTTTATCCATGTATTCGCACAGTCGGTTTATACATTTTGTCCATGTATTCGCACAGCTGGTTTAGACATTGTATCCATCTATTCGCACAGTCGGTTTATACATTTATCCATCTATTCGCAGTCAGTTTATACATTTTATCCATCTATTCACAGTCAGTTTATACATTTTATCCATCTATTTGCACAGTCGGTTTAGACGGGCATGCACCATTTAGAGTAGGGGAATTAGATTAAAGGGATTTAGTGAGACAAGCTGCTTTATTTAGTAGAAAATGTGAACTGCGAATTCCAAATACATACGAACAAATGAGTAGTCCACAAATATTACTCATCCATAGAATGAGGGTTTTCTCCTAGAAGAAGTGGGACTTGATAGAGAGAAGGTCAAAACGAATGTAGGTCACTGACTAATTTTTTTTTACATTGGAACATTTCCAGAACTGGCACTTAAAATGTTAGAATTAAGTATGGATTGAGCAATACATCAAATGCGACCTGGGGCGGTGGAGGGAGGTAGGGGGGTAAATAAGCTGCATATTGTGGAAGTATTCAAAGCAAATTGGGAGAAATTTTGCAAAACGTTTATAAACTCGTATGAAATAATGTTTATCTCCACCTATACGGAGGAGTGTGCCCCTACAGTGAATGAACGGCGTGAAGCTTAGAAGGGAAGAAAGCACTTGGTGGGAGCAGTGACTTCTGAAACTATATTTGAAATATTTAGAACAAAACAAACAAAATGGGAAAAGAAAGAAAGAAAGAAAGAAAGAAAGAAAGAAAGAAAGAAAGAAAGAAAGAAAGAAAGAAAGAAAGAAAGAAAGAAAGAAAGAAAGAAAGAAAGAAAGAAAGAAAGAAGAAAGAAAGAAAAAGAAAGAAAGAAAGAAAGAAAGAAAGAAAGAAAGAAAGAAAGAAAGAAAGAAAGAAAGAAAGAAAGAAAGAAAGAAAGAAAGAAAGAAAGAAAGAAAGAAAGAAAGAAAGAAAGAAAGAAAGAAAGAAAGAAAGAAAGAAAGAAAGAAAGAAAGAAAGAAAGAAAGAAAGAAAGAAAAGAACGGGAATAAAGTCTAATTGAATGTGAGGAAGTGTTAAGCAACAACAAATGATCAATATGAATCTATTCAAAAGGGATTTTATATGAAACTTATAATTTCTATAAATCATGAAAGGATTGACAAAATCATAATTATAATGATGTTGCTTAAATTTAAAGACACTATAAGAAACACTGATTATGAAAAGATGATAGGAAAGCATGGGTTTGGTATCATACATTAACATAAAGAAATATTTTCAAGGTATTGTGCAGAGTATGGATGCTAGGGAAAATAATGTGGTGTTTTCAGTTGCTTTCCGCATTCACATGGGGGTCCAGGATATAATATACATCAATGAGAAGGAGACACAGTTCTGTGGTCATGTGATGAGAAAAGGAGCACTGGAAAATATCGTGATGTCTGGGAAGATCACTGGTAGAAAAGGCAGATCGAGAGAAATGAGGGTGGATGGCTCAGGACAGTGGCATGGGGGAATATCTTCAGTAAGGACACCAAAGACTAGGATCTGTGGCGACGCATGAACGCCTTCGCAAGTTGGCAAGGCACATGATGATGATGTGCAGAGAATGAAAATGTAGAAATAAACACTGTCTAGATCAGTGTTTTCCAAACTTTTCTTAGTCGCGGCGCCGTTTTTCAATTACATTTTTCCACAGCGACCTAACCTAAGTACAAGTTTGACTATTGTATGTAAGAGATTAAAAAAACTAGTGTATCTTCGAATATTTCGCGGCGCCCCGTCAAGAGGTCGCGGTTCCCCAGGGCACCGCAGCGCACAGTTTGGAAATCACCAGTCTAGATGTAAAAGGATACTCAAAAACTTCCCAGACATCACTGGAACACAGGGGAACTCAATTCAAATTTATAATATTTATATGGACAAGAAATTAACACCATCTATGTGTAAGGTGACAATATTAACGGGTGCAGGTGTAGCTTCAGATCACTGTCTACAGGGCACAACAGATTTCGTCAACATATGTTCAAATTTTTCGGTGTAGGAAATACGGAGACGTGTCCCTGCAGCGTGGCACCCGAAAATGCTGAGCATGTGCTCCAACACTGTCAACTGTATGCTGACAACAGAGATCCAATCTGGCCTGCTCCAACCACACTGAAGACAAAACTGTATGGTACACGAAAGGATATGGATTGCACGATAGCTTTCATAAAGGCTACCGGCCTCCTGATATAAGTTTTCTGACAGAAGGATCGAAGAAGAAGAAGAAGACTGTCTACTTATTCAGCATTTTGAGCTCTTGAGGTTCACTGAAGCAGTTATCAAGAATTCCAGTCATTTCTCCTCGTGTCTTCTCTTTCCCTCTGGTGACTCTAATTGTTTGTAGATTTCTCCGTCGTCCTTTCGTCTGTCCTGTTGAACTACTCCCATTGAACTATTCTGTGTACGCAGTTTGTGTCTCTCTTATTTCCTGTCATGTTCTCGGTATGCTCCTAAACATGTTAATCTGTTTGCCCCTTTGATGCCAGTAATCACTGGTGATTCAAACAATTTACAAATTTTGTTAATCTCTCCTAATAGACACTGATTAATAGATACATATTTCATAAACACGCGAGGAACATAAATGTAAAAACGACAATTACAAAAGCAATAAGGTTGGTGTTCATAATCATAAAAACTGTGTCATGTAAAGTCAAAAACTTTGAATATTTCATTGTGGCGTCAGATCAGTTTTGTGCATGATATGAAACGCGGGGAACAACTACAACAGTTACTACTATTAACTATACACAAAAATAAATCCCTAAATCTTTTTTCTTCTTTGTTTACCGATTGTAAGCTGCGACTGAAAATCCTGGCTGTTCGTCCATTTGGACTTTGGCTTTGTGCCAGGGCCTGAAATTTGTGTGTACATCCGTTTTACTGGCTTTTTTGTAAGCAGCTAGTTGTTCCTTGCCGCTCAGGCAGGTGCACTCTGACTTGGAAGGAAGTCCCCAGTTAGTCGACTCCTACGATATGCTTGTTGGGGTCTATTCTTGTTTTCCCCTCAATGGGACCGCGGAACCCACACGAATGAACCCACAATGAATGTGCTTCCTTTTATATTGATGTAACTGCATCTGACGAGATTCAGCGAAATAAAGGCATACCACCCTAATAATCTAACGGTGTCTGGAATCTTCCATCATCACCTTAATATTCTTTACTCTGATCCTGACACCCGTAAGATCTTCAGTGACAGCCCTAGAGTGATCTACAAGCGAGATCGTAATTTTAAGAACATACTTGTCAGAAGCAGACTGACTCGATCTGCACAGAACTTCCTCTCGGCACTTCTACATGCTCCCGGACGAGATATAAAACATGCTGATTTGTGATTCAGACCCCTTTAGCCTGCTTCCTGGAGAGAAGCATTTACTTGTGAATCGCGTAACTTAATTTATGCCATCTGCTGCAAAAAATGTAAAAAGGCATATAATAGGGAAACAGGAATCTAACAGATTGCCTCCGTGAACATCTTTCAGATTAGTAATAAGTCTCTCAAACCGTCTCCCTCCACTTCAACAGTTCAAATGTGAAAACACTATCTCGGTCACTGCTATCAAATCTTGCTCCAAGGATCTTGCTCCAAGGATTACTCCTTAGCTCTATGTCATAGTCATCATCTTTAATTATAACCGAACATTTTCTCCTTGTTAGCATTCACTGGCTTCAACTCCGACGGAAAGTTCTAGTCGTTCATCAATTTCTGGACTCAAGTTGTGTCCCAGAACTGGAATTTTGCCTGCACATCCGTTTTTACAAATCTGCTTATTTGTATGCAGACTGTTTGTTCCTCGCGTCTCGGGCATATATGCTCTGAGTTCAGAGGAAAAATCCCTAATTAGTGGCCTTTTACGACATGCTTGATAGAAAGGCAATGGGTGTGTTCTTTCCCCCCCCCCCACTCGAAATATGGCCCCCTAACCCAATGAGGTTGAACATGTTCTAATAAAGTTATAAAAGAATATAGTTATATAGAATTCAAAAAGGTAAGATCAACCGAGGCGCATTAGCTCCATCTATGCTAGACTCTGCGAGGGACTGGTTACTGGCGGTTGATCTGCCGGGCCATGAAAGGTACCCTGAGTTAATCCGGAAGACCGGCCTGCGACCTGACATAGTTCTCCACTCTACGGAGAAACGGCAGCTCATCCTGATTGAGCTGACCGTCCCGTATGAGTCGCGTATGGACGAAAATCACATGTATAAGCTCGAGAAATACAGTGATTTAGCAGCCGGTCTGAGGAGAGACGAGGCGTACACAGTACGTGTCTTTGCGGTCGAAGTGGGAGCGAGAGGTCTCGTCTCCACTTCACTCTACAATGTGGTTAAAGAACTAGGATTGCGCGGTAATGAACGGAAACGGACACTTAAAAGGCTGGGCGAGGTTGCTGAGAGGGCCTCGAGCTGGCTTTAAACGCAACGGTACAACGTAAGGGACGGGCCTCGGTGAGCTGGTCCGGGTGCCTAGTGGAAAAGGGTTTCTCATCCCTTGAAAGTCCATCGTGTCTGAATTGTCTGCCAGTGTTCCTCTGCCACCTTCTAATATAAGTCCAACATGTGTCCGGTATACCAATCGTAAGCTTGTCACTCGGTCGACCAGGTATGCAGACTGCTCTAATTATGCTACCGCGACTTCTTATCTCACAGTACGCTCTGCAAAATCACCAAGTCGTCTTGTCCCTATCCGAACACCATCCGGTAATTCGTGCAGCAGGGAAAACCAACCCTGAGCTTCATGAACTCAGGTGGGCCCACTCTCTGAAAACGTCTAGGAGATCGTAGGCCGAAACGTTTGTCGACGAGAGATTACTTCTACTGATGATTGGTAGATCCCTGCTGTACATGCTCCCCTGTGGAGTTTATTCCTATCCTAGTTACCAGTATTCGGCAGCCACAGTAGCACAATGGCTAGGCGATTGTCTGCTGGCCGAAGATCATTGTTTCCAATCAGAATTAAGATGGCTATTTCATTATTGAGAAGGGCTTTCCCAGGCAATACAGAAGCCGGAATTTATTTATTTAAACAAAGCATTGTACCGTATTATTTAAACTTTAACAAATTTATACATGATTTATTTTCACACTTTCAGAGCTGTTACCAACATGCCAGATTTCCTCGAGTGGGCTGGCTACATTGCCATTCACAAGTATGCTGCAGAGATCGTTGTAGCCAATGAGTTTCACAACCTCAACTTCACCTGCTCTCATCATTCGCAACAAGGTACATGCTAGTTTACAACCAACACAACATAGCTGGTAGATGGTAGATTTTGGAAGGACTTGTTATTAACATTATTTGGTGAAGTTGTTCCTTTGAACCATTTTTAATTGCATAATTATGAATGTAATCAATAAAATCATCATCATCATCATCAGGTGCCTAGCCGACTGGCATGGGCGATCATGCCTCTCCATAATCTGCGATCTCCTGCAGCATGTATCAGTTCGTGTGCCGACACACCTTCATGCCATGCAACAAGACTGTCAAGCATCTTCCCTCGTTGTCTTCCTCTATCTCTCCTCCCACATATCTTTCCAGTGGTCACAACATGTTCTATTTTCCCTCTTCTCATAGCATGGCCGAAAAATGATGACTGTCTCCTTCTGATGTCTGTGATAAGTTGTCTTCGGGCTCCCGCTTCTTTCAAAACCTCTTGGTTGCTATTTTTAGCTGTCCAAAGTATTCTAAGCATTCTTCTGTAAAACCACATCTCCGAGGCCTCCAGAAATTGTTTGGCCTGTCTACCGATTGTCCAGGATTCACAGCTATATGTTAAAACTGGATGTATGTAGCAAGCAAGAATTCTTTTTCTAACTCTCAATGACAAGGATATATTGCACAAGATGTTTTTCATTTTATAAAATGCAGTTTTTTCCTGTCCTATTCTATTTCTTATATCAGTTATGCATCTTCCATCTGATGTTATCCATGTGCCCAGATACTTAAATTTCTGTACTTGTCTTAAAATAACACCATTGACTTTTATTACACATTTAGGAATAATTTGTTTCTTTGATACCGCCATTACTTCTGTCTTCCCATTATTCAAACTGAGGCCCATTCTTCCACTTTCTAACACCACAATGTCTATCATTTCCTGTAGTTCTTTCTGACTTGTTGCTATCAAGACTGTCATCAGCATAACGTAAATTGTTTATATTGTGCCCACCAACCACAATCCCGGGCATACTAATTAAAGCTCTCATTATATATTCACTGTATATTAAAAACAAATCAGGTGACAGTACACATCCTTGTCGTACGCCCCTCTTTATGCTTTGAAATGTACCTAAACAGTTGTTAATTCTTATAGCTGCTGTTTGCTGCCAATACATATTCTTTATTATTCGTAGATCTTTCCCATCAATGTTTAATTTTTCTAACAGTCTGATTACTTCTTCATGCTTCACACAGTCAAATGCTTTTGTATAGTCTATGAAGCATATGTACAAATCAGTCTTTACTTCTATAGCTCTTTCTGACAATGTCCTTAGGATGTATATGGCATTGTTTGTACCTTTTCCTTCTACAAATCCACATTGTTCATCGCTGATTTCTGGTTTAATTTTGTTTCTTATTCTTCTCATAATTATTCTCAGTAAAATCTTAGTCATGTGACTCATAAGACTTATTGTGCGATGGTCTTCACATTTTATAGTGCCTGGTTTTTTAGGCAGAGCTATAAATATGGATTTTAAAAGGTCATTTGGAATATACCCACTATTATAAATATCATTTAAAAGTTTAGTTATTATTTCAATTCCAAAACCTCCCAGTGCTTCGATTTCTTCCAGTGAGATGTTGTCTGGCCGGGTGCTTATCCTTTCTTCATATGATGTATTGCATCCTCAACTTCTGCAGTCATTATTGGTGGACCATCATTGTTGGTCTGCAGTTCTACATCTGGTCTATTATCATCATACAATTCCCTTATATACTCTGTCCATCTGTTAATTATATTACTATGTCCCATTAATAAGTCACCATCTTTTGATTTCAAACATCCAGTGCTGTTACGTGTCATCTTTCCTGTTAACATATTTATCTTTTGGTACATGGAATGTGAGTCTTTCCTGTTGTTTTCGCCAATCTCTGTACACATTTGATTCAGCCAGGCTTCGTAGGCCACTTTGCATTTGTTCACTATTTCTTTTTCAAAAAGAAGAAAGTTTTTGTATTCTAGAGTATTCTTCTTTATCATTCTTTTTCTTCCTTCTTTCATCCATCAACTGCAGAATTTTGGTTGCCATTCTTTTTTTTCTTTTTTTTGCAACTCTATGGGTTGGTGGGATTGTCTCTTTAGATGTCTGCTGAATTGACTCACGCAACATATCCCACTGTTCATCAATAGTCTGTATAATTTCCATTATACCGGTTTTGTACAGTGACATTCACCTTAATTTCTTTATCCGTTCTAAGAATTCCTAAATTTAACTTGATGTTTTGTGGTGTTTTTCTAATGTTCTTTAGTTTTATTCTAATTTTTCCTACAACTGGAACATGGTCACTAAAGCAGTCTGCTCCTGGTCTAGTTTTTGCTCCAACTAAGCTGCTCCTGAATCTTCTTGAAATCAATCTGATTGCGGACATTTTCACCAGGACTTTTCCAAGTATTAATAAAATATGTTTAGTAAAAGCTGATGAGATTCAGGACTCGCAAGCCAGCTTCACCCATTTGCAAATCAAACATCTCTTTTTGAAAAGCAAGCTTTTCTACAACATTTTCTTGATCTATTGTACAAAAACAAAATGATCTGAAATGAATTTGTATATTGAAAAAGAACATTTTATTGCATGCCATGTGATAGTAAAAATACAATACTCATTTAACTGAAAACCTTGGATACAAATCCACACTGAACAGTTTAGGAGAACAAAACTTGCCTTTATCACAGGTTACCTTTTACCGTAGTAGGGCCGCAAAAATGACTGATCATGGTTTGAAGAGAACAGTGCATCTTAGAGGGATCAGGAGATCTGGCAACAACCCTGGGGAAAAGGAAGACAGGCTTTCAATTTGGCAGTTACTGGTACCATCAGAACTGGAACTATGCACTGGCTGCTGAAGATGGGGACTGAGTTCTTATGGAAATGTCAAGTGTGCTGTGATGACAGTTCTTTACTAAACTTAACCCAGCAATAAATAGATACATAAAACATGCTTGGGGTAAAGGTGCCTGGTGTTATGTTGGGGGTAAATGTGCCCGGTGTTATGCTGGGGGTAAATGTGCCCGGTGTTATGCTGGGGGTAAATGTGCCACGTGTTATGCTGGGGGTCAAGGTGCCCGGTGTTATGCTGGGAGTAAATGTGCCACGTGTTATGTTGGGGGTAAATGTGCCCGGTGTTATGCTGGGGGTAAATGTGCCACGTGTTATGCTGGGGGTCAAGGTGCCCGGTGTTATGCTGGGAGTAAATGTGCCACGTGTTATGCTGGGGGTAAAGGTGACTGGTGTTATGTTGGGGTAAATGTGCCCGGTGTTATGCTGAGGGTAAAGGTGCCTAATGTTATGCTGAGGGTAAAGGTGCCCGGTGTTATGTTGGGGGTAAATGTGCCACATGTTATCCTGAGGATGATGGTGCCCGGTGTTATGCTGGGGGTAAAGGTGCCCAGTGTTATGTTGGAGCTAAAGGTGTCTGGTGTTATGTTGGAGATAAAGATGTCTATTGTAATGTTGGGGGTAAAGGTGCCTGGTGTTATGTTGGGGGTTAAGGTGTCTGGTGTTATGTTGGGGTGAAAGTGCCTGGTGTTATGTTGGGGGTTAAGGTGTCTGGTGTTATGTTGGGGTGAAAGTGCCTGGTGTTATGTTGGGGGTTAAGGTGTCTGGTGTTATGTTGGGGTGAAAGTGCCTGGTGTTATGCTGGGGGTAAAGGTGCTGGTGTTATGTTGGTGATAAATGTGTCAGTGTTATCTTGGGGGTAGAGTTGCCTGGTGTTATGCTGGGGGTAAAGTTGCCTGGTGTTTTGCTGGGGGTAAAGTTGCCCAGTGTTATGCTGAGCGTAAAGGTGCCCGGTGTTTAGCTGGGGGTAAATGTGCCAAGTGTTATCCTGGGGATGATGGTGAACAGTGTTATGCTTGGGATGATGGTGCCTGGTGTTATGCTGGAGGTAAAGGTGCCCAGTGTTATGTTGGGAGTTAAGGTGCCTGGTGTTATGTTGGGGTGAAGGTGCCTGGTGTTATGTTGGTGATAAATGTGTCAGTGTTATGTTGACTCAGTTAAGTGCCCATTGGTTTATAAAAATGTCTAGCGTCATATGCCCTGATATCTCCACCACTGCCGGTCCCAAGCCAAGATGGGGTATCAAAAGGGTAGAGCTTGCAGCTAGCAGTATGGCCCTACAGAAAATGAAATGGGAACTAAATGGAATGAGAAGATGATGCTGTCAAAGAGACACCCTAGGCTCAAAGTTTTTGAAAGACAAAAGGTGCTTCAACAAAAACTTTAACAGAATTTCTTTTTTTTTTTTGGGTCACATTAAGAAAATACTGTAGAAAAACTCAATTTGCAAAAGGGTGAATTTGATTTCCAAAAGCTTGAATGTAGCTTGTCCTGTGAGGCGTTATAAAAGAATGATGGAAACACTGTATGATGACGATATCTTGAACGAAATTGACTATAGAACTAGTAATACACATCATTCTCTTGGTCCATCATGAGAACAGGCCAGTTGGAAGCTGGAGCAAGCTTTGAGAACAGTAATGGAAGGAGATGGGAGGGGGGTGTGTGTGTGTAGGCGCACGCAAGTGTATGTATGGGGGGGGGGGGGGGCGACAGAGGATAACAGACAGTTTAACATCATTCTTACAAAAACTGATTGTCATTATCAACACATTCACAGAAGGCTGTTGATAGACAGGATGTCCAACCCCACACACAAAACGGACTATTGAAACAAATGTCTGAGTGAAGCTAGGGAGGCATGTATTTTGTCCCCTGCAGGATTGCGGTCTGCAAGATTAACACCTCAAGGAAAAGAATCAGACTGGTACAAATGAGTTCAGTCACAAAGCAGCTACACTGAAGCTACATGTGGACTGGCACCTGAATCAACAGATCAAGTCCTCCCAGACTGTTCAGTCACAAAGCAGCTACACTGAAGCTACATGTGGACTGGCACCTGAATCAACAGATCAAGTCCTCCCAGACTGTTCAGTCACAAAGCAGCTACACTGAAGCTACATGTGGACTGGCACCTGAATCAACAGATCAAGTCCTCCCAGACTGTTCAGTCACAAAGCAGCTACACTGAAGCTACATGTGGACTGGCACCTGAATCAACAGATCAAGTCCTCCCAGACTGTTCCAAATACAACATATCAAGGCAAAATATCTGTCAAAGAGAAACACATGTCGAAGCCAAACTTTACAGGTCCCTGAGTGAATTACAAAAGTCAGTCAAGTTCATACTAGAGACAACACTGCAGAAATAGATAATCTATTTCAAGCGAATGAAAGAAGAAGTTACATAGCATCCTGAAGTCCCGACGGAGGGAGGATGATAACCATGAATGAAAGTGTGTAGTGTGAAAGTATCTGGTAATTAAATGTCACAATGTTGGTGATGCCGACGACCACAGGTGTAACAAACATCTCTTGTTCATTTTTCTTTCACAGAGACACAGTGCCTGACTACAGGAGATCAATATTTAAAACTGTTTTACCGTGATGCCCTTGATAACATGAGTCGCAATTTCGGTATACTTGCTGGATATTCTGTAGGTGGTTTTGTTCTGTCTGTCTTGCTGTTCAAAGCACGTGGACTGCCCACGCTTCATTAGCTGAAATTGTTTGCCTAGGTTCGGAAGAACAAAATATATGTTTTGAACCCTAATTATTTGTATTTAAATGTAATTTGTAGAGAATGTTCCAGAAGATAAACTGATTGTAGAGAAGTTAGACATATTTTTAGGACTTGATATGAGAAGAAATGAATACGAGAACTTGTTTACGACTGGCAAAATTGATGGGGAAAAGCGTTTAAGGGAAGCAGAAAGATAAATGTACCGTCCAGCCAGTAAAAAATAAGACTAATTTTTTCATAGCCAAGGCAAAATGTCATCCATGAAGCACAGCATGTCATCCAATCAGGCATCATTCATCTATGATTTGGCGACAACACTTGACAAATAAGCCACTATGTTTCGATGCTAGAGAGTTGCTTTGTTACGTAAGCAGCTGGGGCTAAGAGCAAATATTAAAGTAAATATTACACTCTGAAAAAGTGCTACTGAGACGGTTGAATTGATCGAACAAATTTTGGAGATAAATGCACATTTATTCCACAAAACTGATATGGAAAAGACTGAAGATAAAGCTGGGCCAGGATGTCCAATTTCTGTTCCTAATGATAAACCTGTTGCCAAAGTAAGAAAACAGATAAACGAAGGTAGTTGTCTTCACAAGTATAAAATGTAAAATGCAGACAGCGTTGGTTTTGTTTTATGAGAGAGAATTATTCACAAAGAATCTTCCACAGGAACCAACTGTCACTGCCAATGTTTATATCAGTATTTTGGAACGCTTGTAGAATAGGATTTACAGAATCCGACCCAAGTCTTCACAATCTGACAGTTGGTCCTTACTACCTGATAATGCACCGGCTCACAGGGCAGTAGCTGGTACACGACTTGTTGGCTAAAACACAAGTACCTGCTCTCAGCTATTCCAATTGCTCCTAAGATTTGTTTCAGTGTGATTATTGTTTTTTAATTCCCAAAACTAAAATTAAAATTGTCTTTAAATGGGTTTCTCTTTGATGATGATGACATTTAGAGTACTATACAAAGTAAAACAGAGCTATAACCAAAGAAGACTTGCAGTGGTCATTACTGTATTTGTTAAATCACAAAATTGATTTTAGAAAATAAAATGATATCCCTATCTTCGATTAAAAATTTTTTTTTTCAAATTTTAATCAGTCTCATTGTTTAATCGCCGGATTGTATATCTCTTGGCCATATGGATTAGGCAAGTCAAGAGAACTGACCTGATCAGTGATTCTGGTGAGGGTGTGAGATGGTGAAACATGACCAATTACACTTATCCACATGGCACGTGATGCTGATGATTCAGGAAGAACTCCCAGCTTACAGTCACATCACAGACATGCAAGGATATTACAGTTCACACTCAGATGACACATGATGATGAAGATTCAGGAAGAACTCCCAGCTAACAGTCATATCACAGACATGCAAGGATATTACAGTTCACACTCAGATGACACATGATGACGATGATTCAGGAAGAACTTCCAGTTTACAGTCACATCACAGACATGCAAGGATATTACAATTCACACTCAGATGACACATGATGATGATTATTCAGGAAGAACTCCCAGTTTACAGTCACATCACAGACATGCAAGGATATTACAGTTCACACTCAGATGACACATGATGACGATGATTCAGGAAGAACTTCCAGTTTACAGTCACATCACAGACATGCAAGGATATTACAATTCACACTCAGATGACACATGATGATGATTATTCAGGAAGAACTCCCAGTTTACAGTCACATCACAGACATGCAAGGATATTACAGTTCACACTCAGATGACACATGATGACGATGATTCAGGAAGAACTCCCAGCTTACAGTCACATCACAGACATGCAAGGATATTACAGTTCACACTCAGATGACACATGACGACGATGATTCAGGAAGAACTCCCAGTTTACAGTCACATCACAGACATGCAAGGATATTACAGTTCACACTCAGATGACACATGATGATGATGATTCAGGAAGAACTCCCAGCTTACAGTCACATCACAGACATGCAAGGATATTACAGTTCACACTCAGATGACACATGATGACGATGATTCAGGAAGAACTCCCAGTTTACAGTCACATCACAGACATGCAAGGAAATTATAGTTCACACCCAGATGACACATGATGACGATGATTCAGGAAGAACTCCCAGCTTACAGTCACATCACAGACATGCAAGGATATTACAGTTCACACTCAGATGACACATGATGACGATGATTCAGGAAGAACTCCCAGTTTACAGTCACATCACAGACATGCAAGGAAATTATAGTTCACACCCAGATGACACATGATGACGATGATTCAGGAAGAACTCCCAGTTTACAGTCACATCACAGACATGCAAGGAAATTACAGTTCACACCCAGATGACACATGATGACGATGATTCAGGAAGAACTCCCAACTTACAGACTCTCAGCTTACAGTCACATGTGTGATCTGTGGGAGGAGATGGGAGCACTAACAAAAATATCTATGTGTGGTCTATAGGAGGAGATTATGGATTATCTGATGCAGAACAATTATACCCAAAATGAATGTGTTTCTGTGACTTATCTTGGATATAGCATCTGATGAAACCACCTGTTTGCTGTATTGCACTGTGGAGGGAACAGTGGCCAGAACCACTCCTGTTTTATTTCTTTATGTCATTTTTTTAAAACTATAATAAAGAATATAATTACTCCTGTTTATTGTAATGTCATTTGTTTGACTGTGAACAAGGAGACAAGATTGCTTCTGTTTATGGTAGGCCATTTATTTCAGTGTTAATAAAGAGACCAAACCTGTTTCTGTTTATTGTAGTATCACTTATTTCACTATTAAAAAAACTGCAGTCCAGAAATGGACAAACAACCAGAACTTTCCACTGAAGTTTACAGCTGATGAACGTGAAGAAGAAGAAGACTATGAATAAATAGACCCTCCTGTTTATTGCAATTTCATTATTTCCCTGTGAATAAAGTGACCAGACATGTTCCTGTTTACTGTACAAGCGATCAAATGAAACCTTCATCAGTGGCTTTATTACAAAAGCATGAAAGGTATAGTAGCAGGTGTGCCTAATTAAACAAAGCAGTTAAAAGCAGGCCTGACTGACCTAGACCTCTAGAAGCAGGGTGATATGTTCTGACCGGAATGGCTCTGGTGTTACTGCCATGTTACCCTCATACTGTTTATGAACTGTTTGCAGTGTGCAGTAATATGTTGTCTATGTAGCACAAGATCTCAAAACTTGAAAGTCCATCACTTTCCTGAACAGTGTGTGCCTGAGTGACAGCACATAGCTGATCACACTGTAACTGCAGCTGATATCTGCTGTATTTACTGACATCAATCCACACCAAGGTTATATCTTGACCAGGTGTCCATTTAGATATCAGAAGTGGAAGTTCTTTTTTAAAAACAAATGCTCCTTTATGTTTGTTTTCAACCTTGTGAAGTGCCTTTCTATCTCCTACAACAACAGCTGCCTTTATATATATAATATCAGGTTGTGCTAGGTGTCGCGGGACAGCAAGATGTGTGTGGAAGAGAGGCAGAAGGGAAAGGGGGGGGGGGGGAAGAGTGAGATTCCGCCTGCAACTTAACTCACCCAACATGTATGTACTTTATGTCAAATTATTCAGTTGTTTATTTGTTGTCAACATTTCTGGCACAATATACAATATCAGTGTTACCTGATCTGGTATCATTTACAATCTGTACATTTTTGTTCCATGCAAACAATTTACATAATATTTATATACAATACACAGGTTTTTTACTGCCTGTCAGCTGGTCATACAAGAAGTGTTACAGTCAGAGATGTTGTAGATGTTTGTGTCATCTTCATTTCAAAATAAAACAATTCAGCCAAATAGGAAATGTACTTTTAGGACGAAGGTGATAAGAAAATGCATAATTAAACATTTATAAACAAATTCACTGCTTTGGTAATTCTCTGATGGAAAGAACTATGTTCCAACATGTCATCAGATTTTCCACTTAAACATGATTGCAATCTACACTATGGCAACAGTATTGGGGGCTACTCTATTTGAATCTTTTAGCATACTTTGGTCATGTAAGTAGTATGATTCTGAATACATAAAGAGTTCTAATTATATTTTACATCTTCCGGTGTTTAGTTTTAGTCTTTGAGGCATTTCCTTTAAGACAATTAATTAAAAAAATGTCTCAATAAAAACTGGTACAAACAAGTGAACAATGTACCCAACATGTGCAGATTGCTTGCCTTACAAAATCCCAGGATCCTACATGTTACTCTGGTGTTACATTAGGCTGATAACATCTCTGACAGCATCACCATCAATACCAGCTCATGACAGTATCTAATACTGTCCACACAACAAGAGCTCTTATTTCCTAGCACAGATCTCCTGGGATTTAATTCTTCAACTGAAATCAATGTTAAGATAACCAACATGTGGAATGTATTACACTGGTCAATTCTCACACTGTTTCAGCTGTAAGCATTAGCTATGCCCTATGTTCAGAACACAGAATCCAAGTCAGTCAGTCATGATATTCATAAACAACATAATAAAAAAACATTTTCTTTCATCTGTTTGAAAAATATATTTCTTTTAATTGGGTGCAAGAATACCAACAGCCACAATTCTATCATGCTCCTGTAATAACACAACAATGACTCGGGTAATCTAAAATCAGTTTCCAAATTTCTTTATCAGCTTTTCTTTCTCTTAATTTTTGGCTACACTATCTTCAGTGTTTGACGCTCTAATGGAGACAGACCTTCTACTATCCCATGCAAATGATTCACTACTAATTCATCTTGTTTTCTCCAGGATACTCCCATCTTATCTGTCTCAAATCCTCTTCTGTTTTCTATGCAATTAACAAATGTGTGCAAGGAAGAGAAATAACAATCAGTACAATATTATAAGCATCAACTCTAATACTGAATCAATACCACTGTATGTTACAGACAAATGATGAAGATGAACAGTAGTTAC